ATTATGTGGAAGACAGATGCTCATGTCTGCGGGTGTTTGTGTTGAACTGAAAAGTGACTTTGAAATTTTAAACTGTGTGTTGGATGTGGGTGATGGAGGGGATGCTCACAAAGAAAGATCGACATGATTTGTCAGACCTTTCTTATTTTTTTTTTCTGTAACAGTACAACAGGGAAAATGTTGTTGTTTGGAAAGTGGACAAGAACAGGCTGCAGCAGCAGGGCGCCACAGACAACAGCTCCTTCTAGTCAAACTCTTTCCAATCACTTTGTGTCGTTTAACCAGAGTTCTTAAATACTCAAATATTCAAACTGACTCCTTTTGATTCATTTGTTTGTGCTCCAGTAGCTTTACTCATGACCACATAGGTCTTATCTTCTCATTATGATTTGATCTTGGTCTAAATCAGCAGCATTAGGTTTCTGTGCCGTCAGAGGTGCACACAGAAAAAGATGGCTGACTCTCATCCTGGTGTGTTTGGCAGCTTAGAGTCAAGTTGTTAACGGCACCAAACAACAAAAATGATGGATGGAAATCCTTTAAAACTCTGAAGGGGATGGCTGGATTTTGATAAAAACAGATGAATCAGAGTCTGGACCATAAAATGAGCAGTCTGCTGATTTTTTACAGATCAGCATAGTTGAAAAATAATATCATATTTAAAATAAAAAGGAAAAAGGAAAACTTAAAATAAATACTTGAAAAGATAACATCTTTAATAATAATATTGGTAAGAACAGGATTGATGAGGAGTCATAAGAAGAGGGAACAAAGGAAAAGACAAGACTATTGGTTCCATGTGGACAAAGGGTTACTTATACGTTACTTATGAGAGTTCCTCCAAACAACTTTCAACCCTTCATATAAGTGTAGCTACATGGTTAAACCAGTGTGAAGCTAAGATCTAGATAAAGGGTTCTCCCCGAAAAGTGACTGTGGCGTTTCCTGACCACAGCAACGTAGCATATATCTGCTAGAAGAGATATCACGGAGAAAAGGCGTGTCTGTTTTCGATCTTCTCATCTTGGTGCATCATCAAGTCCCAGATTAACTGCAGATTAGCTCAGTGTCCTCAACACACTCATGGAGTGTTTTATTCTGGGCTTGTAGGACTTCTGGTTTCAGCTGAGATCAGATGTTCAAAATGTTCTCACTCAGTGGTTTCCATAGCGATAAAGCAAGATGGTGAATGGTAGATGTCTTGCATTTGTGTAGCAACTTCTGACGTTTTAAAACCCCCCAAGGTACTTTACAACACACACACACACACACACACACACACACACACACACACACACACACACACACACACACACACACACACACACACACACACACACACACACACACACACGCACGCACACACACACACGCATGCACGCACACACAAAAACACTCTGGAAGTGATGAGCTATGTAGCCACAACTTCCACAGGGTGCACTGATTGAACCGGGACTGCTGTAGGCCATTAGCTGGCAACATGGGGTAAGTGCCTTGCAATAGGGCACAACAATTGCGATGGAGTGAGCAGGACTCGATCCCACAACCCTCTGGTTACAAAATGATAACTGAACTCCTCTGCTGCTGTCATTTGGGTTGAGAATGGTACCCAGAGCTGTCTGAAGTGGTTGATAGGTTACTGCTCTGGAACCATTTTCATGACCTGTTGGCCCTCAGAACAGGGGTGGGGTGGAGGTGGGCGTCGGCCCAAGATGGGCAAGCCGCCCATCTTGGCCCAGATAGGCCAGTCCATCCCAGCTCGCAGTTGATGACAAGTTGTGTCCAGTTATCTGTTTTGTCCTTTGACATGAAAAGGTAACAAATAATTTAAACAAAGTTCAGAATGTAGTCAGGTGAGCCACAGTCTCCATGTGTAGGCTCATATTCCACACCTTAACCCTGCAGCCCGGGGTTGTGTATTTAAATCCCATGCTGGTGCCACTGATCAGAAGAGTGATTCATTCATGTCTTTAGTCTAGGACAAAAAGGAAACCACAACAGAGTGTGAATTTTAAAGACTTTCATAACCACATCTTGACTGCAGATTGTATTTTTGCCCCGTGGCACTGTGTGTACTCTCTATTGTTTTAAATTAAGAAACACACCTATGAATTATATAAAAACTGCTGATCACTGATTCTGTGCATGGCTGACAAATATCCAACAAAAGTCATGCGTTCTGTTTTTGTTGTTTCAACATTTATCTTGTGGAGAAAATAAAACAGTTTTCGGAGCAAAATGGATAGTGTCTAAGAGGAGAAACGTTTCATTTCTCATCCTCGTCTGAGACGACTGTCAGAGAAATACTTTCCAGGAGACCAAAATACTCTACACTGAGCCAGGAAGATTTACTGATTTGTTTGGCTTTAGCAGGTGCACCTAAGCTTATGTGACTGTGTGTGTGAGGGGCGTGTGTGAGGTGGAAACAGCATGCAAAATGACACACACACACACACACACACAAATACACATTTATCTTGTCTGTGACCCCGGGTGGAGAGAGAGTGATTTTAAATGTGGTTTAATCATATCTACCTAATTCCCATCAGGAGCTTCAGATCCCCATGCTGTCATGCCTGCACCCCCTCCCCCTGAATGAGAGTGTGAGTTTAAAAAAAACTTGCATCTGTTGTTTTTGGACCCTCCTTCATTTTGCTTCATTACTGAATAATCCACACGTGCAGACTCACAAACAAGGGAAAAGTAAAGCCAACAAACTCTATAAGTTCAGCCAGCTCGTGGCCTGGAGATCTAATGATACAATAGAGCAAATAACACACACACCCAGGTAAGACTATTGTGTCTCAGCACAAACACACACACATGTATCCTAGAGTAAAATACTAAAATATATTTAGATGTTGAAGATGCTTCAGTGGTGAGTTATTACCCTCAGGCAAGTCAGTTTCAACTGACCGGCTGCCGGCCCTGCCTTTTCCAGTTTGCAGGCCAAGCCTCCTTAACGTTGTTGTTTGACCATAAAACCTTACAGCAAGGGCAGTGCCCTGAATGCATTCCATTATTTAGATGTCACATCACTTAATAAGGCATCCTACGTAACACATATAAAGTCTAACATACCTTGTGTAGGCAGTTTGAAGAAGATGTTTATTCTAACAGGCCATTGCATTTGTTAATCCGGGGCTGGACCCCCTTTTGCCCCTAGAAATATGTGGAACTAATAAGCTTTTGGAAAAAACCCTCAGAGAGTTTGTTCCATGACACGATATCATCACAAAGTGTCTGCAGGGTGTTTGGTTTCACATCCGTTATGAGAACCACCCACATCCCAGAGGTGCAGGGCTGGATCTGAAGCCCCTAGAGATGGCTGTGTTTCCAAAATACTCAGCCTGTCGGGCACAAACAACCTTGTCACAAAGTAACTTCGGTTACCTTTCTACCTCCTTCTGATGCTCCATTTGAACTTCAGCAGGTATCCTTCTCCTTGCCTGAATGCATTGAGCTGCAGCCACGCTGATTAATGTTGACAAGCAATACAACAGGTGTAACTAATGCACTTAATGACCTGGCTGAGAAGTCTGAGTACATGTTTGAGCAGTGCTGTGCTGGAGTTTTCACTGAATGCAAGGCCCTACTTAGGGTACTCAAACCTACACTTCCACCTTAAATCAGCACCTTAGAATGGACAGCGCACTCTCTTTTGTGGGTGACTTGTTCAGATTTGCGCAAACATCTGTAACCTGGAAGCTGGGTGATGGTGCAGGTGTTACTCCCTGTGCAAGTGCAGCTCTCCTCTTCTTTGTCTCTGTTGTTTTATTTTGAGCATCCAACCACAGACAGTTGATGTCATCTGTAACCCTTTGCCAGTTGCAGCATTGATTCTGGTCAGCACTGCCAAAGTTTAAGGTCGCTGATGTAATTTTGTGTGACGTTGGGCATCGGGCTCTGTGGAGCAGCTAGATAATCCTGAGAGGCAAATCTGAAGATGGCTGAATTAAACTTAAACCCAGATTTATTTTATTGTTGTTTTTTCCCACATTTCAGACCCCATCCTGTTTAGCTGCACATGCTAAAAAGGCAAATTACCATCATAAACAGGTCTGACAAATACACATCATAACAATAGCAACTGATGTCACCATCGTATATAATGTTTCAGCTGTAAATCTGTCTTTTAAATCCTGCAGGATTTTCCATCCATAAACAGTCGTCTGACTCGAGGCAGGTCCGATCAGGATGGTAGATAGACTGTTGAAAGCAGCTCGTCCCCGCTTCCCTCAGGACAGATAGAATAAAAGAAATATGATAGGGCAGAAGCTTCAAAAGAAATGGAAATAGGAAAGCATTCATGTGTCAGAAGACTTTTACAGCTCCTATGACCCGGCTGAAGTGAACGTTAAGGTGGGACTCCAACACTCAGACTCAGAGAAATTCATTCTCTTTCTTGACTTGTTTGATCCACCTCTCATTGAGAAGTAGAGTAAAACTTTGGGTTGTGCGAACTTCTGTGACTTCACACGCTCACGTGAGTTTGACAACATGAACACGAGTAAAACCTGATAAGGTTTGGGTTTTTCTGAAAGCAGCTCGGAGGCGTTCTTTGGAGCAGCACTAACATTCTGGCCGAGTGGAAACTCAGACGATAAGGGGCTGATACGGGCTAAAGTTTGTTTCTGTGTGTTCACAGCAGAGAAATTTAATAATATTTCATCTTTTTCTTTTCTTCTCTGTCTGCCCCTGCTCCTCCTCATGCTCCATCTGTGTCACGCTGCGGTTTTCCATCAGGGAGAAACTTTTGAACACATCCAGGACATTGTGGCGTCTCTGCTGCGGATCATCAACCGGACGGTCATCACAATGGGTCGGGAGCACACTCTCATCGTGAGTACACGCGGATGACTGGAACGTTTAATAAACCTGATTTCAACTTGTAATTCAAACATGTTAGGATAGCTTATATTCACGCCACTGACATCCACCTCAATTGGTCATTCAGGGTTTATCTGAAAGACAACACATTTGAACGACAGCCTCCTTTGTTGAAATATACATTTTATTGCACATACAAGTGGAAGATCAGGAGAGAAGGGCTTTGAGGAAGCTTGCTCGCTGTCAGGGGGCAGCTCATAGAAAAGCTATGACAGAGTTTTTGGATGCAGAGTGGGTCGTTAGGAAATATGGTGCCATCCAGGACTCTAACTGGGAGCAGCTTGTCAGCCAACGGATGCTGAAGTAGGACTTTGTGAGATTAGCAGTTATGTTCTGAACTGCTGTGGTGGAATAAAGCTCTGAGCGGTCTGTGTGTCTGTGGAAAAGGATGACTCAAGCTTTTTTGTGATTTCATTTTTCATATTCTTCCAGCTTGTTACTCATGTCCTTTTGCACGTGTGTGTTATTTCACTTAAAATGATTCCTAATTGATAGAAGATGTTAAATCTTTAGAGATGTGTTGACATCCGTAGCCACACCTCTGTGAGTGAGTTGTAGCTTCATCCATTCATCAGTTCAGATAGTTTATCCTAAAGGATATTCAAACTTAAAATAAAGTGATGCTTTTTGATGCTAATAATGTATTATTATTAATTATTTACTATGTATTTGTTCAAATAGGGTTATGCTACGTTGAGCATTGTTCTGCAGCAAAATGTCCTTAGAAATAAATCCAGAAATCAGCTTCATATGTTACAGTGAAACTTATAATATTCCTTTTTTGGTGAATTGGCTCTGATTTTACAAACAGTAAGAATGTACAGCATCCACACTGGCCAGTTTAAGGTGGACTGAGGTATCGTTTACCCAAATGTAGATTCAGATGAGTGAATTAGTGCCCGCCTTCCCCTTTGTGTCGGTATATGTGTGAAACTTCATGAAACACTGTTGAGAAGGAAAACAACCACTCTTATCTGATGTGAACATTTTGTTCTTTTTAGTCTCTTTTTAGTCTCTGATCGGCTGTCAGTTCCATCGTCTCTGACTGTACTCTGAGTACATCCAGTTTGACCTCTAGATTGTGTCTGATCCAGAGAGAGATCGTTGTGTTTCATGATGAGTCGTAAGCTTGTGTCCCCTTCAGAACTTCTGCACTGCTTCAACTCTTGCTACATTCAGATTTTGGCAGCAGAATTGCAGTTGTTCTCCAAGTAGTCCAATTCCTCGGACTTCCAAGATCATTACAAGTGCCCAGGTTATTGCTGTTACTTTGCCAGAGCCGTAAAGATTCAGATCAGTCCCATCTGTTTAAGCAGCCATTCAGCACAGTGATGAGCAGTGGACCCGGAGTCTCCGTTCTCTTCCGTTTGTCTGCTTTAGAATTGGTCTACAAACACTTTCACTTCCAAGTTGCATTTAAGTAGCTGATGAAGACTTTCTTTTGCAGTAAAAGGAGAGGTGAAAAGAAATCACAGCAGCTCTTTGGGTCCTCTTTTATTCATTTACATTCCTTTTGCTGTCAATTCTTGTCAAAATGCAACCAGAATCAGGCCCAAAAAATAAATTATTTTGACATTTTGACTGCAGACTCAAAGGTGCTTTTATCAAGGTGCTTTGCTCCTTCTTAGAACTTTTAGTGCTGTCCAAATCCATGCTTTTGTTCTCCTGTAGCCCAGGAATACGGTTCTGGCTCTTCGAAAGCTCAGAGCCACCAGAAACATTTCTTGCGCAGTTTTTTGACACACGCTTTAGCGCTGGGGCGACTGCAGGAAGAAGGAGCAGGTGGAGGCTTGGTCAGAGTTTGAAGAGGCACATCATATTCTCCATCAAGGGCATCCATAACACCCTGGAAACGTCCTTCCTGCTGTCGAAAATCATGCTCCACACTGGAGAGAAGAGAACGAAAAGCGTTAATAGAGATGGCGGGAAACCAAGAAAAATGACCATTTAGATGTTGGGTTGATCAAGTTTTTAGGATTACAATAAAGATTTCATCTCAGACATGGAGAAGAGGAACACGGAGATGAAGAGTAAAGTAGACAAATGTATGCAGAGGAACCCCTTAGGCAGCTGTCCATGCTTTAATTTGACGCACCTCCAACACACACACACACACACACACACACACACACACACACACACACACACACACACACACACACACACACACACACACACACACACACACACACACACACACACACACACACACACACACACACACACACACACGCACACACACACAGAGGCCTCATCTTAGCACTCGTTTCACGTCCAGCCTATTCTTCTGCACTTCATGCACCAGTCGATCACAGACTGGTGAGATGAGAGGAGGAGGCGATTGAAAAGGAGAAGTGAATAAAAAGAGGAAAGGAACATTTGGACCATGGAGGAGCTTAAGCAAAAGAGGCAAAGGAGGAACTTTTTTGCATTTCAGAAATGTTCAAAGCAGACCCTCTTGGCTTTCTTTTTCTATGCTCCTCCAGTCCCTCGTCTCTCTCCCCCTGTGAAGTGTTTATTGCTGCAGGTCATAATGTGGTAGACTTTGAGTTTCTCACTTGATGTCAGTGACAGTGTATTTGTGTTTGTGCGTGGGTGTGTGCTGAGCTGGATTAAAGGGGCGGAGCTGTGTGGGGCTTGGCATCTGGAGGTAATGAGGCACATGATGAGACAACGAAAGCCGATACAACCAGCCATCCTTCCTCCCTCCTAAATCCCAACATCCCAACATGCACACAGGAGCTCATAAACACAACATAAACACTCAGGGTGTACATCTCCCACAGCAGGACCACAGCTAAGCAAGAGGGGCACCTTAGGATGCAGGGTTTATGAAACCAGAAAGGAGAAAACATCTGAGATGTAATGCTGGATAAATGAAACAGGGCTGAAAAGTCCAGGCAGAATAACGGGAAAAATGGAAGAGAAAGAGGAAACATGGAGAAACAGACAAGAGAGACCAGGCCTATGTTGGCTCCAGGTAGAGAGAGTAGGGAAATGAGTTAGTAGAGGACGAAGTTAAAGCTCTGGTGCGCTCAGAGGAAATGAGATGGCTCCCATGAATAAATGATACAAAGGACATTCCCAGATGTACACACAGATCCTCACAAACACACAATGAGGGAAGAAGAAATGCTGCTCGTGTCCCACGTTTAGTCAGCTCTGTCTTTACTGTCATGTTCCGGTGTCTCAGTCCTGGGTCAGTTCTAGTGGTGGAATTATGACACTGCAGGGAAAAATGGCTACTCTTCATTTATGTCGTCTTATTCAGCAGCTGTTGTTCTTGTGACAGGTCTGCGTGTCAAAGGTCAAAGTCACACGTATTTACATTTTAACCTCCATCTCAGAACACTGAGTGGAAACTGGCTGGTCAAACCGAGCTGTGAATAATAATTAAAAAAAATTACAGGTGAATTAAATGGGGAAAAAAATCACTGGTTGAATTGCTAAGAAGCTATCAAAATGAAAACATAAATAAAAATGAAATTAAAGCTTCTACTCATTTAGTGTACAGCACATAGGGCTTGTGTGTGTTTTAAGTGCTTATAAATAAAGCTGCATGGTCTGTTTAGTAATACTGTGGCTCCACTGCTGCTGACCACTTAAACTTTCTTCCTCTTCTGATAATAACATTTTACTTTCTTTGACATTGGATGTGCTACTACTAGTTTCCCCGTTTAATTATATATTCACTAGGATAAATACAATGAAGTTTACCTCTCACCAAATAGAATATTTACTAAGAAATTACAATGTAACCATAGAAACACTACTTGGTATATATGCTGTGTGTGTTGATGTGTGTGTGTGTGTGTGTGTGTGTGTGTGTGTGTGTGTGTGTGTGTGTGTGTGTGTGTGTGTGTGTGTGTGTGTGTGCTCTGTCTTCTCGATCCCCAGTGAGTCGTGGCGGTTGGCTGCTTATACTGAGCCAGGATCCTCTGGAGGTTTCTTTCAGTTAAAAGCATGTTTTCCTCTCCACTGTCGCTAAATGCTTGCCTAGTAAAGTCACTGACACTAGTCAGTAGGGCTGCACGATATTAGGAAAACCTGCGATATTCGATAACAGTGCTTAATATTGCGATATCGATATTACAATAAATGAACAAGTACTAAAGTATGCAGTGTTGATGTTGTCTGGCGTGTGACGTCTGCTCTGGGCTCAAAGCAAACAAAAACTAATGCATGAATTCCATTACAACATAACATCTTTATTGCAAAAATATGCAGCTGCACCTGCTACTGTATTAGCAGCAAAACAACAAACTGCATGCATGCAGTTTCTCGGTGACTTTAAAACATCACCTCCACCATAAAACCTTTTCTGACGCTCCAAATACAGAAAAACATCCCTTACCAGGGCTTTAAGAATAAATAAAAAAAAAATATCAGAAAATAAGTTTAAATGTTAAATAATTGTTAACATCACTTAAATGCAACAGCTAATTCTCTCATTGCTACTGAACATTTTATCCACTTCTGTGGTTATGATATAAGGCTGTTGCTGTAACTGGGAAGTGAACTGTGCTGGGCCAAACTAGGAGAATATTAAGATTTTCTGAGGGAAAGAGAACAACAATTGTCTACCTTTCAGAAGAGGAACTGGCAACAAACTACATGGAAACTATGTGAAAACGTTTGTTTTTAATCCCAAATTGAACAAGTTTAGCTAGATCTTAAAAGCAGCTCAGATGATGAAACTGCAACTATGATTCTGATAACAAGCTAACAAATTGAACTAGCTCCTCTAAGATAACCGGCTAGCAGAGCTTCTGACTGACAGTTTATGAGCAGCAGCAAATCAACTATCCTGATTAACAAGGTTATAAATGAAAAATCACTTTGATGTGTGGGGAAACTTTTTCAGGCCCTCTTTAGCAGGGTGGGACTGGGAGGAGAGTGCTGTAGCCTTTTAGCTGGAAGCTAACCGGAGCCTGGGGCTAACATCACCACCCGGTGGAACACTAGCGACATGAAGGTGGGTTGGTTCACCAGCACGTGTCGGAGTCTGCCCGGTAAAAATGATTAACGACACCGAGCGGACTCACGTTCACGTTTGAAAGCAGCGCTGATTCCAGAAACCTCAGCACAAAGTGCGTTCATTGTTCTGAGCCAGCATGGCGAACAAGGGAACGGCGCCGCTAACTCAGTTGGGGACGTTGCTTTCCATCCGAAGGGTCTATGTAGGGGGCGGGCGTATTACGTGAACAGACCCATCTGATTGGCCGTATATCCGAAGGGCTACATTTGATTGGTCAAATAATACTTCCGCGTAAAAAACAGAGCTGGTTTCCAAAAAGCTGATGTATGACACGGATGGAAATGTTGAACCAAACATTTATCGCCGTTTTTGACGTGCTTTGCGATGGGCCTATCGCATGTCCTGTTATCCCGATGACGATAATTTTTTGATATATTGTGCAGCCCTACTAGTCAGTGACTCGATGCAACCTGCCTAGTTCCTTACAGAGGAAACTTTTTTCTGATTGGCTTAATGAGCAATGATTACTGTGTGGAGTGCCTTGAGACAACTCTTGTCTTGATTTTGTGCTACACAAATAAACCTGAATTGAACTGAATTTTGCTTTTATCTTAGATTAGCTTTTGAGAGGAAGAAAGAGAAAGGCACTCTTTTATTGGAGTGTTTAGAAACATGGCTGCCTGTGTCTGATACATACATGTTAAAGGTTATTAAGAAGACCGAAGCTTTGTATTGTTCCTCTAGTATTCTTCTCCTAATTGTCTGTCATCAAAAAGATTCATTAAAACTGACAACAGCAGAGCCTTTTCAGGCCCTCCTGTCAAACCCCATTTTTTTCACCACAAATCATTAAGATGGATGTTTCAGCCCTACACAGTTTTCGTCTCTTTACCCACAATCCTCTGTGGTGTAGATTAAACCGCTACTGTCCAGCAAACTGAACCTTTCCTCCTCTGTCTATGTTTGTGTAAAAACAACTTGAAAATATTTTTTTTGTTTTTGAAATAAAAAAAAAGCAAAACATGTTTAAAGGAGGCCAAATTCTGCATTTCTCTCCAAGTCATTTACACGTTCCCACTGGTGTAATGTGTGTATTTGTTAGTATGTGTGACAATTTGCATTGTCTGCATGAACAGGCTGTTCTCAGAGACATCTGACTAAAGCGGTGTTCTCTTTCTGCTGTATTAATTAACATGAGTGCATAAACACACTATATTTGCATATAGAAAAGATTAAAAGAGGAAATTGGAGCAGAAATAAATTATCTAGAAGGATAAGAGAAAAGATGGTTCTAGTTTGATGAGAAATGCAACATTCAGAAAAATATGTAAACCTAGACATTTATTAGTAAATGTTTTTAGTGTTCCTGACAACGTACATGTCTAATACACCAAGCACATCTGTGTACGAAACAGGGCAGTGATAGTTCTCTGTGTGCTGTAAATGATATGTTCATGTCATACAGGTGAAACTGGAGATATCAAACAAAAGTTCATTTATGTCACTAATTTAACTTAAAAGATGAAACTAATAGACAGACTCAGATATACAAAGCATGTATTTGTAATAAATGTGATGATTATGGGTTACAGCTTATGAAAACCCCACGTTCAAAATTTTAGACAATTGTGAAGAAGTCAAATATTTTAGATGGAAAATGTCACACTCTAATCAGCTAATGAATCACCTGCAAAGAGTTCCTGAGCCTTTAGATGGTCTCTCAGTTTAAACTGGATTAGTGACATAAAATGACTTTGGTATGATATTCTGACTTTTCTAGTTTCACCTGTAATTGTTACTTTGCTACTTTTTGAACAGTTAAAAGTGTTGTTGTCACACCCTGTCCTGTCTCCACATTTGGTTCAGCCTGCATCTCTGTTAATTGCCCCCCACCTGCCTCGTTTCCCA